AAATTTGTGTTGTTTTTGTCTGATAATTTGCTGTGCATTCAGGTTGTGCAAGTGGAACTGATGCCTCAAGATGATAACTGGGGAGAGAACACGACCTGCTTGACCGGCAACACGAGTGAGCATTCATGCTCATACGATGACATCCGTCGACTGAAAGACTTTTCACAGGTGGAGGGCATGATGATTCTCGGATCTCGCTTTTTGCCCTGCTGCCGCTTTCCATCCATCATCATATCGGTCGTTACCTGCATGGCATCCATTTGTAGCCCGGCGGTGATGGTGGCTCTGCCTAAGCTGTCTCATCTGGCTGCTCGCACCAATATCACTTGGAACACGACCCCGTGCGGTAGCGACTGCGAAGGACTGTTGATCAATTTCTCTGTCAAAATGGTCATTTTCCTGTTCGGCTTATGGGCTTTGTTCTTTCGGCGATCAACCGAAAGCCTGCCGCGCTTGTTCATTAGCCGGGCGTTTCTGCTCGCTTTTGTTTTCTTAGTCATATTCGCTTATTGGCTGTTTTATATTGTCCGTATTTTACAACCGGCAGAACCGAACTTTACAAGCATCGTCACTTTTGCGCTATCTTTTTTGGATGCGCTAATCTTTATCCATTATCTAGCATTGATTATTCTCGAAATCCGTCACTTGAAGCCTGTCTTCAAAGTGCATGTTGTCAGATCACCGGATGGCGTCGGTCGAACCTATTCCCTCGGCTACGTCAGTGTCCAGCGCGCAGCCGCCATCATCTTGCAGAACTATTACCGCGACTTCGCCATTTACAATCCATATTTGGAGGCACTGCCCACCCGGGGCAAGAAGGGCAGTTCAAATAAGTTGCCTGTGACGTCGTTCAAAAGTACGATTTTTCCTTTTCTTGCTGCACACGACAGTCTTAACTTATCAAATTTCGTCCCATAACCTTCCACATATCTGAAGGATTTGCATAAGTTTACGATTCCGAACTTTTTCAAGCATAAGAAGTGATATTCATTTCATTACCATGTTAGAGAAAGAAAAATTTGAAGGTAAAATATGCAGCCGTTCGGATTTTAGTTTCCTTTGCATTTTAATGAAGGACGCCATTTTGGTTTTCAGATGAACCAGGCTTTAGTGCATGAGTCAGGTCAACGCGAATCCCTAAGGCACTTTTATCAGACAGCATAGCCTAATTATTGAAAGTTATGCGTTGTCATGGGGCAATTTGACAGCCTTCTATCAATCTGTGGACGTTCCGCGGTTTGGTTACTTTTAAGTCTTTTACCATTAATCTTTTCTTGGCTGGGGCTTAGAGATCTTTCACCGTCATAGCCGCCCGTTGAAAAGCAGCTGAGGAATGAATACGGAGACAGCAGCGCTAGAAAATGCGAACACTCATTTGGCATCAGCAGTAGCCGTTATTTAGTGCAAAAACAACGAATTCTTAGCAAAAATCACTACCGATAACACACCAATTTTATATGCATTAATGATCACCTATTATTTGCACCCATTACTGGAGTTTGGCTTCACACTTGAGAGTCGAGGGATCAGATCTTCTAAGCTTATCGCATTTTGTTTGTTCTCTACTGAGTCTGTTGAGTGACGAAACCATCCCACTCTGTTCTGACATAGCCTACCGTAGAAAGAGTGGCGAGTTGTTGATCTGTGAACAGTCGGATCAGTATAATTTTCCAGAGTGATTCTGCCAGAGAGATGCTGTCTGGTGCATGCGCCTTACCATTGTCATTCGCCTGATCCTCCGGGCAGCTGGAAATATATCAGCAGAAGTTTTTGACCGTAAATTACAAAATTAATCTATGAAAGAGAAGGCGGTGTCAGTTAAATAATGGAAAATATTAGTTAAAAACCTGATTAGAGAACAATTTCAGACAACAGCGACATGGTTAATGATTATAGTGCTAATTTGCGTTAGACAAATACATCACCTTGGATCATGCATGGAAGAAGGTTGAAACAATGCATGGAGTTTTACGGTGCTCCAGTTTGCAAGTTAATTTGTAGCTGGTTCAGTTTCCAGGGGTTATTTTCTTGTTACCATCTGCCGCTGATACTGGTTTTTTTCTGATATTTCCTCAACTTGTCGTATTTTTGCAACAGAAGCGTTTTTGGCATTGGTAATGAATATTCAGTTATAAAGCGCGTTATTAATTTTGTTTGTTTTGTATTGTTAGTCACGTTTATATATTTATTCTTCTCAAAAAACAATATTTGCATAATTTCATTAGTGCAGCATAATTAGCTAACATCCAACCACAAATCCTTTTCTTTATTCATCTGTTTGTTTGTGATTATACCTACTTTAGTTTATGACGTGGATGCTGGCTCAGAAACCGTCAATCCGCAGGACGTCAACACACAAGCGATAATTGCAGCCGCTGCTCGCAAGCGAGACGCCGGTCATAACGAGCGCTTTTACGAAGAGCTGGAATGGGAACGACGCGTGAAGAAACGGAAGGCGCGCTTAATCACCGCCGTCGAGGAGTCGTTTGCGCACGTCAAACGAATCGGCGAGGATAAAGGTTTTTAACCAGCTTTCGATATAGATAGTTTTTATGAGTTCAGTTATTAAAAAATATGTAATTACTAGCCTTTTAATTGGAGTTTTTAAGAAAATGATAGCTAATTGTTTTACATTTTGTATGAATATATAAGAAAAACTTCGCATCGTATTTTGCGTAGGCTTTTATGACATGTAATTGTTATAAGAATGTCTCGATAATGAGTAAATTCTCTCGAACAGTAGTTATGACGTCGCGAAAACTTGATGCTCTCAAATACAGTTCAAAAAGGCTTGACTTGTGCATCACATGTGATCAGAATATACTTGATATATAAACGCTAGAATGCTTTACATAAATGGGATTTAGTTTTAGTTTTCAGCCCGTTTCAGCCAAAGGGTTGAATTTAGCAAAGGTTTTAATAGATTCATAATTCAGTCGTAACGATGCAAAGAAATTTGATGTGATGGACATCAGAAACCGCTGCTAAACTTTAATTGATAGGTTGTGTTGTTTAGCTGAAGGGAATTTAAAGTTCCAGCTGAAGGTTCGTCCTTGAACAGAACTGTCGTATATGCATTATAAATGAAATAACTTTTTATCTATATTTTTCGCTACGTTATGCTTTTTTTATTTTACCTTTAAATATCAGTCGAGGTAAAAAAAAGCGTAACGTAGCGAAAAATATAGATAAAAAGTTATTTCATATAATATGCATATACGGATAAAAAATATATCAAATTAAAAAGTTAAAAATATTTAAATATCAGTCGAAGCCCGATCCGTTGTGACGAAAGCAGAGCTCGGTCTGAAAACTAAGCTCTCAATATTCAAGCCGATCTTTATCCCCAT